GGCTTGTAAAACTAACTAGTACTTGTTATTGCGTACATTAGCGTAAAGAGCACGTGCAGTAATTGATCTTGACTGCCAAGTTCTACTTTGCATTTTGTAGCTCTTTAAGATAACATTTCATGGTTTATTTTACAAAATAGTGACCACCAGGTCTTCCACCCTCCTGATTGACATGGAGCGGGTGGCATTTGGGATGACGATTGAGTGCCAAGTACCACTGAGAAAATTGTAGCTTTTTTAAGATATGCATTTCTGGGCTGGTTTTTCTTTAGATTAGTGACCACCAGGTTTTCCTTCCTTCTGATTGAAATAGAGTGTGTGGCGCTTGGGTTTGATGTAGCTAGAATTAAATTGGAATTTGCCTCGTTAAACTAGAATTACCTATGAAGACGGTATTAGTATGGAAGTGCCAATCATACTTTTTTTTACGGGCTGTGTATGTGCATAATCAGCAGTACAATGTTGTACAATGTTATGGAGTATGGCTTTGTATGATATTAGTGCCAAACATATAAAGCAGTAAATATATGAACTTACCCGTGGGTTTTCATGTGTAAACTTATGGCCTGCATCAGAAATTCTTTATAACACCCGTCAGAAGTCTGACAACAATCTTGATCAGGGACAGCAGTATTCTGTTGATAATCTCATAAATTGTTTTTCGGCCCCAGACAACTGGGCCAGAGAAGTAACATTTTAGAATTTAGAAAGCGGGAGGGTTTGGATGAAGCAATAAGAACTGATTGTTCTCAAGTGGCACATATAACTCACCCATATTCTTTGTGTGTTTGCTTCTTCATTTGATGAAAGTATTGGAATCAATCATTCTGGGATTTTGCTGCAAAGATGTGTAGTAATGGAAATTTAGTAATTTGTTACTTTAGTTTTTAGTGGTTTATATTCTTTCACATTTGTATTTTTCACTTTATGTTATTTCCATTTTATCAGTATTTAGACATAAAGTTCAACGGTTATAAAAGGTGAATAAATGCAAATCTAGTGAAAATTAGGAATTGAATGCAGGTGATGGCGACATTTGAATTGTACCGAAGATCTACAATTGGCATGTGCTTGACCGAAACCCTGGATGAGATGGTCTCCAATGGCACTCTCAGCCCAGAGCTCGCTATTCAAGTCCTCGTGCAGTTTGATAAGGTCAGCTTTGATCAGTCATATTTTCCTCTCTGAGGATTGGGATTGGATAAACGCTCTAATATGCATTCCCCTGTGCAGTCTATGACCGAGGCTTTGGAGAATCAAGTGAAGAGCAAAGTTACTATTAAGGTGATTATTGGCATTGTTATGCATTTTATTATGTTCTTTAACATTATTTTCTTAAAGTTGAATATCTTGGGTTCAATACCTGAGGTGTTTCGACGGTGAAAATCTTAGTATCAATAAATGCTTTGGCATATTTTTATGAAGAAGATATTTTCATGTATTTGCTTTGAAGAAATTTGTAATCTTCCAAAGTAGTAGTTTCTTGATTGCAAACTGTACTTTCTTGGATACTTTTTCCCCTTGTAAGTACCCAAAACCTTAGTTTGGAAAGAATGCATTTTATTGATATTTGTTATGAGAGAAGGGGTAAGCAATCTCAGAAGCGGGATTAACACTGCCTTCTTGTTTATTTTTTTATTAACGTAATTTGACATTTTATTCCCTTTGTGTCTCATAGATTTGAGTTTGAATGACTTGTGTCAACTTTGTATACTTTAGAAATTAGTGTATACGCCGTTCATACAGCAATAAGGACAAGGGCTCATAATGCTTCAAAGGTAGACATCTTATTGGTGCCTAAAGGACACTTTCGAGTACAATAAAGGGGAAGCAAGTCCATTTATATTATAAAAGAATCATAACATTGAAATAGCAAATTCTAACTGCACAATGGAGTTGCTACCGGCTGAGAGTATCTCATTGAAGCACCCCAAAGTCTGTTGCAATTCTATGGACAATGTGATTGCTCTTTGTTCAGTTTTTGATCGTCCTTCAGATAAGTAGGCTCTTCTCTCTTCGAGAGCAATATTTTAGAGAACGCATCCTCATTTGTCTTACCTCATACTCTCATAGTATATATTTCATGAACTTAAAGCGTTCATAACCTACAACTAGATATGTAACTTTTAAGTTCCACGAGAACTTGATCACTTTGCTCATCGATATTGAATGCTAGAATGTTAAGAAGTCAAAACAAAATAATACCCTCTGATAACCTAATGATATTAGCAACATCCATTTCCACCACATTATCGTGTTCGATATCACCCAGTAAATAAAGGTTCATCATGTCCCTTATTTATGTGTGCATATCATGCTCTTGATTGGTATCACTCAAGTTTGTGCTCTGAATCGTGGATATTTTGGGTGGTTGATGATGCACATCACATCTTATTAATGCTTTGGTGATGTATCTTCTGATGGTGTGTAAGCTGTTAGATCCTCTTGATAGGATCTCTATCTCTTCTAATTATCACATCAGTGATTCAGTCTTTTGGGTTGTTGATATGGAAGAGAAATTGTACTGGTGGCTCTAGTAGTGGATTTATGCACCTGCATCGACATTCTGACCTTTTATGTCCATGGTTATGCCTGATAAACAATATTTAAGCAGCTATACTTAAAACCATTGTTGTTGTATTCGCACACAAAAATGATGATTCAATATGATTTTATGTGCTGATTAAAATTTATGGTTGGAACATGGGTAAAATTCATGAAAGTTAGAACGAAAACAATTTGTGTTCCTGTTTGTTGGGGAAAAAAGAAGTTCGTAGACTGTATCTGGATATAGGAAATATTGCATCAGCAGAAGAAAAGTTTGAAGAACGAGGGATGCTTATTATGTTGTTTAGAGAATGGAGCCCTATTTGGGGCAAAAGCTGCTCAACACATGAAAACTTATTGTGTAAATGGAAGTAGTACAGCTAGGGGGGAAAGCTGAGTCTACTTGACACATAAAAACTGATTGTGCAAGTAGAAATATGTAATTTCAGAAGAGTCTAGCAGATTTAATCTTTGGCAAGTTGCTCATTTAAAGACGTTGAATGGAAAGAGAAGAATGGCAAAGAGGAGGAGCTTATAGAAAAATAATAGCACACTAATATATGGAGTACGACCTCAGCACAAGTAGCTGGTGAATATGCTAGGTTACCCGGACACTTCATTTGGGCTTTTGTATCTGTGTCTGACACTCCGTAGACACTTTTTGAATATACACATACATGTATTCAGACGTGTATTCAATTATATAACACATGTTTTAGTTTAAAAAACCAGTGATACACTTCTTGGATGTATATCGTACACTTCACTTCAATTTCTGCAACTCATTGGACTCAGGACTGGTTTGTTTCAGCACATACTTAGTTTATAAGTATGATTTTAAAGGGTTGTTTGGGTATCTAGTTCAAGAACGATCTGGTTTTTCAATCAATAATCTACTCAATAAAAGAAATATAAAAATGTTATAGGGATTTTAGTTCTCATAACATCTGAATGAAAAAAACAATATCAATCTCATAGAAAGTATTAATTTTAATATGTATATATAGTTGTGTCCCCCCTTATCCTACTTTCTACAAATTTTCGTGTCCATTATCCTCACCTGCATCCATGTCTGTGCAACATAGTGGATATGGCACATGTACGATGGAGCCATCACCTCGAAACCAGGTGAAAACAAGGGGCTGATATCAAGAAAGAAGTATAATCTTCTAATAAGGTGTGAGCTTCTACTATGAGAAAATTGTATAAAGAATTGTATGGCGGATGTCTGTGTAGTATAGGTCATTTCTTTTTTGTTCTCTTTTATATTTGTGGTAGGAGAGAAAACCAGGAAGATACATATTTACAGAGTTCCATGTTGGTGGCTGTTTGGATGGCTTATTTTTTTATAATTGATTAAAGTTATACTTGGTGGATTATTTGACTAATCAAAGCTAGAAGAGGGGGACTGCAACGGGAAACATATGTTAATTTAAGGGAATTTAGACATTTTTAAATAATTAATTAACATAATATAAGTGATTTCATCCATCAAACTGTGGAGGGTAAAATTGAGGGTTGATTAAAATTTTTATGGTAATTTTAAAACTCTATGATTTAGAGAGTATACATCTAAGAAAAAGACCTCCATCTTTTTGTTTTGTTTCTGGGATTTAATAGGAGCCCCTTGCTGGTCTCTTGGCTAAGAATTTCACACCATTTTAATGGGCTGAAGCCACATGAACAGCTGCAGTAAATATTTTTTTTTTTATGAAACCTTTTGTTGAATTTTGTGCTTGGAAGCACATTTTCATGGGGGAAGGCTTTTAATGTGATGATTCCATGACTCACTTCAGTAGCAAGTTTGTATGAAATGCTATTTATTTGGAGACCAATGGTCGTCATCCTTTTCCTCATTCGTTTAGGAATAAGTAGACTTATCCTTTTACTTCCAATAATAAGGCTTGAATTAAATACAGTCGGCTTCAAATGGTACTTAAATTCTACTCAACAAAGGATAAGAAAAAAAGAGGAGACTATTAGACATGCCCTTCCATTTCTTTATTGTTCATGCTTTGACAAAAGAAAGCACGTCTTACATTAACCTGCAACGTATCTTAACTATGCATTCGGTGGATTGTCTTTTGTTATCTTTTGTAAATGATTTTTCTTTTAGAAATGGTAAAAGTTAACCTCCCATTGATGCCCTGAAGTATACTAAGTACTAGTAATCTTCAGTCTGGCATGAGAGTTCTAGGATCACCAGTACCCTTAGTTACACAGAATCGCTATGGTTTTAGAATATTTTGGTTTGTTGAAAGCTTTCAGAAGTTGAATTTAGTTGAATATCAGTTACATCCGATCAAAGCTTCCAACTTAATAATCAAACTGTCAACTATACATTAGATGCCGTGCTGCAAGCTCTATTTTGTATGCCTTCGCTACTTGTGACCCGATTGTACTAACCTTGTACTTTTGGGTATTATTTTTACAGGGTCATCTTCACACCTACAGGTTTTGTGACAACGTATGGACCTTCATCCTACAAGATGCCACGTTCAAGAACGAGGAATGCACAGAAACTGTTGGAAGGGTAAAGATTGTAGCTTGTGATTCCAAGTTGCTCTCGCAGTGAACATTCCTTTTCACCCTCTTCTCGTGTAACAACACCCTTCCATATAAATCGTGAGTTCTGTTCTCAGATCTCGGGGTTTTTAATTTGCAGTCCGTATATTGCTGGACTACATTAATGGTTGTATAAACTAGCATATTGCATTTTTCTTATTAATTTCTTGTATGGCCTTTGAAAAGTTTGACCGTGTTCCCCATCCCTCGCCCTCTGCTTCTCTCCATGTAATTTCCTAGCTATTTTATCTGTATCAAACACGTGCATCTCATCTTAATTTGCTCTGATTAGCTTCGTTTTCGCAAACAAAAGTTCTGGTTTAGCACCGTGATATGCTGAGTGAGACGATGTAAAATACTCCATGTCGATTGTTCTTTTCATGGGCCGAAATATGTGCTATTTTACATCGCGGTTTTTTCTTTTTTTCTTTTGCTTTAAACGATCGTTAAATGTGTTCGATGAGGTTTGAATCTGGATGGTTCTGCTACCGTAGATTCTAGACGAAAACTGAGGGTTGTTAGTTGATATACGTAGGCCTTGCCCATGTTGATTGAGTTTGCGAAAACGCCTGCCGTAGGCTACAAGAGACTGACCGAAACAGTAGAACATCTTCGCTTGCATGAGCTGGACTCAAGAGAGTGCGTGCTGAAAATGAGCAGGCAAACCAATTTGAGAGCGTTTACGCCTGAAGGCGACCTCCAAGAGACACGTCGCATTCATCTTTCACAATGTTACAGTCTGTGGTAAACTAAAGAGTCACTGTAGGTTTCGCTTCAGCACCAAGCCATCGAACTGCAAGATGCATAATTCTCCATCATCGCATCGAATAAAGTGGGGAGACAGCGGCCAGCCTCGGAGCCTAACTCTTGAGCATATGCTCCTAGAGAAGAATATTTTTTTTTTTTTAGAAAGGGCGAAGCAATTTCTCGTACGTTATTTTGATCACCAATCATTTGCGGCACGTGCTCAATGAGTTCCCAGCTCAAAAACTTTTTTCCTGCTACGCTGCCATGGGCCTTGGAAGCATCTGGGGGAGAAGATATTTTTAAGTTCGGCCCAAGATGGTAGTAGGCAATTGTGCTGCATAGTGGCTCAGCATCTTATTGTTGGAAGAAATTTTCTAAATAAACTCATTCAACTTTTTTTTAAATCGGCCCCCTTGATTTTTTTTTTTATAAAAATCGACCTATTTTTTTTAATCCGGTTCATAAATAGTCGGGGTTGCCAACCCCGACTATTTAGGAGGTTGCTAATCCCTAATTACAACCCTAAATCCTAACATTCTATGCGCTAAATAGTCGGGGTTGGTAACCCTGACTATTTAGGAACCGGATTAAAAAATAGATCGATTTTTGTAAAAAAAAAAACTCAATGTGGTCGATTTTTTTTTTTAAAAAAATGTGAATGGGTTTGTTTAGAAAAATTCTTCTTTTTTGTTGCCATGGTACACAAAAAGAGTTTTCTTCGGATAATGGAAGAGTGCTAAGGACTCAAAGAACCTCCCCTGTTCTGAGTGTGAACGTGTGGACTATGCGCTCAGAGCGTAGGTTAGCTTCTTCGGCCCCTTTTCGAACTTGGGAGGACTTGTGCTCCGTAGGAAAAAAAAAAGAACGTAGGAAGTTTCCTAAGAAGAAAGTTCTCCAACAAGACTGGGGCCTTCTTCAAGTGTAGACATGTACCTAGTTATATCCATCAATTTCCCTAGCGTCTTATGTACATAATTATAGTTATTTGCACTTTGAGCTACACGCAACGTCAGCAAGGCCGTTTGATCTCCTAGAAAATGTTGAAAAGTTCCCCTAAAAAAAATTATGTCTTTTTTTTTTTGCCCCATCTCCATAGTTTAAATAAGGACAAATTTTCAAAACCGACCACTTTGGGATTTTAATTGCAAAAAACGACCTATTTCAATCTTATTTATAAAAACCCACCCAGTTGGTTGAAACTGGGTCGGTTTTTTAAAAAAAATTTCCCAAACTTCACGGGAGTTCAACTCCCGTGAAGTTTTGTTATGAGAAAAACTTCACGGGAGTTCAACTCCCGTGAAGTTTCCCAAAAAAAATTACAAAAACCGACCTGTTTTCAGCCCCTGGCTGAAAACAGGTCGGTTTTTGTAAATATTTTCAAAACCGGTCGTTTTTTGCAATTAAAAACCCAAAAGGGTCGGTTTTGAAAATTTGTCCTTTAAATAACGAACGTTTGGATATACGCTAAGAGATATGATAAACATTAATGCGCTTTCATAGGAAGTCAGAAATTGCTTCTGTGGAGAGAGAAAATACGAGAGAAATTAAGATGCCCGATTACAAAAGAAAAAAATAATAATAATATAGCTCAATAAAAGACTAGGAGTGGCTATGCAACTCAATATAAGCTTAATTTGTTGCTGTTGATTGCGCATTATAACATCAAACAGGTAAAGAACTATCATGATAGAACTTCCACATCCTATCCGCATCATATTTTCTAACTTTGGGGGGTTAACAAGAAAAAGTTTTAATTAACAAAAAAGCAAAAAAAAAAAAAAAAAAAAAAAACCAAGATAAAAAAAAAAAAAAAAAAAAAAAAAAAAAAAAAAACCTAGGCTCAGAGAGAAGCACAGGATCCATCATTCAGTCCCACCTCATAATGTTGCTTGGTGAAGCTTAAAAGCTAAACAAGCTCCCTTCTTTGTGTAAAGCCAAGATGATATCTCCCTTCCCAATTTCTAGACACAACATAAAGACGCCAGTTTGTTAGATAATCATATCACATGTACAAATGAAATTATCAGATTGCTTCTAGGAGTTTTACATAATAATAATAATAACACGGGATTGTTAGTTGCACATAGCCCCCTGTGGTATTAATTGCGTCTCGAAACTTATTGCGCTTGTAGTTTGATTTTGGCAAATAAACCGTATACGTACGTGTAGAATTGGAGGGGAAGGAGACGAAGCTCAGGAAAATTGAAGCAAAAAACATTTTGGATGATGCACGGTCGACTGCGAGTGGAGCTGTGGTCGACCGCGAACGTGCACGCAGCCTGAAAAAGTCTCTGGACTTTTTGCGGTCGACCGCGAGTAGCGTGGCGGTCGACCGCGAGTAGCGTGGCGGTCGACCCCGAGACC